CCTGCTTCTTAAGCATCATTCATTTCTGAAGAAATGCGAAATCGAACAGGCATACCCACAACTTCGAACATTTCCACTATTTCTGGGTCAGTGGATCTGTTTCAACTACTTCAAATAAAGAATGTCAAGTCCGTATTCCGTCCGTTCTCCCATTGATGCTACGCAATCAATGGAAACTAAAGTCCTTGTCCTCCCAACCATCGCAGAAAATCTGCCCTCCTTCACCGCACAAACAGATATTCGATCAAATTTGCCAAATCTACGTTTGGCCCACCCCGATCCCTTCTCATCCCGTCCTGTCGATATATTTCTTGGTGCAGATCTTTACCCGAAGATCATGCTACAGGGTATACGGTCCAACGTACTAGGCTCGCTAATAGCCCAGAGTACAGTTTTCGGTTGGATCATTACTGGTCCAATGCCCACTTCCTATTTACGTCTATCTATTTAGGGATATATACCTGGGGGACTTTGAGCAAATTATGCTTAATTTTATCCATACGGATGATATTGTGTGTAAAGGTGTCGATGGTAACTACAATAATTGTGCTAGGTCAGTTTCCTCACGGAAAACTTAAAGATTACATCGCCTACCCTTTTTCCTATATACATGCTACGCAAATGTAGATTCTACGATCTACATTCCGGGACTTCGTCCCAGTTGGCTAGTGTTACTTTTTTAATACAAAGTTAAACGCTTTACGAGCAAGATTCTACTATACAGTCCACCACTCTCCCAGAGTCATACATTTAAAATTATACTTCCGTTCACTACGGGTTTACGACCTCCTATATTTATTCGAAATTCCATAATCTTCTGCAGGCATATTTGTGAAATCAAATATAATACACTGATTTATTGTGGGAAATACTTCCACATCGCGGAAATAACGTCGAATAGTAGAGGTGCACCCGGGATTTTCATACGGAAAACGGTACTTTATAAAAGTTGTTGCACAAATAATTATCATAGTCCATATCTCGAGTCGTCTTTTGCCACATCTTTACTTTTTCGCGTAATGAAAAATGACCATTGATGGTCGCGATAGAGTCGCGTATTTTGGGACTATGATAATTACAAAACGACCTACGGTTTTTACTGGTCATTCTGGCCATACATTCATTAATAATAATCCTCATCGTTTCGGTATCACATCTCTCTATTTTCACAGAAGATGGAAAATTTAGGTACGAAGACTGCGGTACGATATTGAAGACGACGTCCTCATGTTCGATGAGGAAAGGGACTTCAACCTCACAGGTGTCCCCATCGCCAACGACTCCATGCCCTTCGGGATCTTATGAAGCTGCTTCTCCATAGGAGGAAAAATAATTTAAAGTCCGTCTTCGACGGTCCCTGAAGTTCCTTCAGGAGAGACGATGGTGTCGCCACCTCTTTCGACTCACTGTCGAAAGAACGTCGTCGACGGTCCCTGAAGTTCCTTCAGGAAACCGTTGGTGTCGCCACCTATTTCGGCACACTGTCGAAAGAACCAAGGTTCGAAAAGAGCATGCATAATGTTGTTCCAACAAAATCAACCTCTAAACGTCCGTCCGTTAACTCATCATTGCCTTCGGCTCCAAATTCCTGCGACGTTACGCAAATGCTCTCAGCGAGAGTCATTGGTTTGGGACATATCGTTGCTCCTTCGGAGTCCACGTCCGTGCGGCTTAAAGAATATCATGCTGGCTTGTAACTTGCCGATTATCGGTTCAACGAAGCTGCGACGGTCAGCATGATACTAGGCCCAGAGGTTCAAAACAAGAATAAAGCCACAAAAATTATTCTAGCCCTGTTTTCCATGTAGCATTTCATAATCAAGCGATGGGCAATCTTCAATTGCCTAGCCGCAAGACTCGGCGAGTCTTTTGATTATAAAAAAGATAACGGATCAGATCTTGACGAGACATTGCACGACTTTAGCCATCAAATGTTTTTTGAAAAAAAGTATAAAAAAAGAGAAAAAGAAAAAAATAACAAACGAAACATAACCTACATATATAGAATTTCCAGATTAAATGAAACCTTTTACAAATTAAATGAAACCTTTTCCAAATTAAATGAAACCTTTTCCAAATTAAATGAAACCTTTTCCAAATTAAATGAAACCTTTTCCAAATTAAATGAAACCTTTTCCAATTGAAATGAAACCTTTTCAATTGAAATGAAACCTTTTACAAATATAATGAACCCTTTTCCAATTGAAATGAAACCTTTTACAAATAGAATGAAACTTTTTCCAAATTAAATGAAACCTTTATTCATATCCAAGGAAATGTAATATTTCCAGTAATTTTAAATCAATATTTGAAAATTAAATCAAAGAATATTAACAACTATAGTTGTATGGCTATGTAATTAACATAAATATTCTTTAATTCGGTGTGATTTTATTTTATATCTGTACTAAATAAAAAAAATAGTAATACAAACTGGGGTATTTCTTGACATTTATTGACAAGGTACCTGCTTATCTTCATGAAGAGGTTCCCGACGTGCATGTCCATAACGTAGTTAGAATTATCTTGCCGAGTAAATTGTTGAATACTTTGCTCGATTACATCAACAATCTTATGTTCCATTGAAACGTCACACAGCTCAGCTCTTGTACATAATTTCATTTTTAAAAATGCTTTTTCGATTGGATTTACCATTGGAGAATAAGGCGGTAAGAATTTAAGGTTGCATCTTTTGGATTCGATCAAATTTTTTATGTCATGTCGCTTGTGTATTTAAGCGTTATCCATTATCAAGAACGAATTTTCCAACTCTGGATGGATTTCCTCCAAAAGACCTTCTATAAATAATTTAAATCTGTCTGCATTGACACTGGAATTAGAAATGATTGTGTGATTGAGGTATCCCCAATATTCATTGATCGTTGTTGGGGTATCCATTTTGTAAAGCCTTGAGCATATTTCTGTCTCAAGCCTAATGTTCTGGAGTCATTCATTCGTTCTATTTCACTAGAGGTCATCTTCAACGTAATTTTTAATTTCCGTTATCCATTTTCTATGCAGCTTGTGGAAATATTTATATCATTTTCTCTCAACAGTTTAGTTTTTATGGCTTTGAGGGTAATTCCAGGTTGACTTTCTATATAGAACTCGATCAGACTTAAAACTTGTGTGTCAAATTGTTCTACACTCTTCATACAATTTACATAATAAAAATTTCATGTCTGTTATTATTTTGTTATACTGACCCAATTTGTTTCGGGGTCTTGTAGATGTAGCTTCGGTAGGTTCTGGAGCATTTCCATTTGGAATACTTGGTGAGGTTATAGATTCTTCTTGAGATTGCCAATTATCAGAGGTTTCCGAGCTAAAATCAGGTTAGCTCATAATTATTTCATTGTGTATGGCTACCTAAACAAAACACTACTAAATGAATGACTACAGAACATTAGGCTTGAGACAAAAATATGCTCAAGACTTTACAAAATGGATACCCCAACAACGATCAATGAATATTGGGGATACCCCAATCACACAATCATTTCTAATTCCAGTGTCAATGCAGACAGATTTAAATTATTTATAGAAAGTTTTTTTGAGGAAATCAATCCAGAGTTGAAAAATTCGTTCTTGATAATGGATAACGCTCAAATACACAAGCGACATGACCTAAAAAATTTTATCAAATCCAAAAGATGCAACCTTAAATTCTTACCGCCTTATTCTCCAATGGTAAATCCAATCGAAAAATCATTTTTAAAAATAAAATTATGTACAAGAGCTGAGCTGTGTGAAGTTTCAATGGAACATAACATTGTTGATGTAATCGAGCAAAGTATTTAACAGTTTACTCGGCAAGATAATTCTAACTACGTTATGGACATGCACGTCGGGAACCTCTTCATTATGATAAGCAGTTACCTTGTCAATAATTGTCAAGAAATACCCCAGTTTGTATTTTTTTTTTAGTTTTATTTAGTAAAGATATAAAATAAAATCACACCGAATTAAAGAATATTTATGTTAATTACATAGCCATACAGCTATAGCTGTTAATATTCTTTGATTTAATTTTCAAATATTGATTTAAAATTACTGGAAATATTACATTCTTGGATAAGAATAAAGGATCATTTAATTTGTAAAAGGTTTCATTTCAATTGAAAAAGGTTTCATTTAATTTGGAAAATGTTTCATTTCAATTGGAAAAGGTTTCATTTAATTTGGAAAAGGTTTCATTTAATTTGGAAAAGATTTCATTTAATTTGTAAAAGGTTTCATTTAATCTGGAAATGCTATATTCACTTTGCAACATAGCAAGATGTTGCAACGCGGGCGGCATTGTTTGATTTGAGATATAATTTCATTTGAATTAAAGTAAATTCTAATCCATCGTTATATCTTGTTCACTACCATTATATACGTCATTGAGTATTTCGTACTAAAGACAAAAGGTAGTAGCAAAATATAACGAGTAGCTATGTCAAAGCGCCGCTTTGTGACATCTTAGCAGTAGAGGTTTTATGGGAGTTTAACGAATATCGCATCAAATTACATAGCAAAGACACCAATCATTCGTGGTGAAGTGTAGATGTCTCCCTGTGTGTATCGTAGACACAAACCATTCGTGGTGAATTGCAGATGTTACCCTGTGTATTTGACCAAAATAGTGGTGAATTAGATCGTTGTCAGTAGATGGCCTGTCGTGTATGTAGCATAGACATAAACTTTTTGATGGTGAGTTGTATGTGCAACCCTGATCTATGTCGTGTTTGTAGCATAGACCCAATCCTTTTGGAGGTGAGTTGTATGTGCAACACTGTGATCTGTCGTGTTTGTAGCATAGACACAATCCTTTTGGTGGTGAGTTGTATGTGTCACCCTGTGATCTTTAAAGTATAGATGTCGCTTTGAAAGATTGGGTGATTCAAAACCTTTTGGTTCTTTAATCCTTTTGGTGGTGAGTTGTATGTGTCTCCCTGTGATCTTTAAGGTATAGATGTCGCTTTGAAATATTGGGTGATTCAAAACCTTTTGGTTATTTTATTTAAATTGTGGTTTGGTGAATTATTGATGCTGCCCTGTAGATTCGATAAAAGACTTGTTTTTTTAATTTTATTTAATCTGGTTAGCTTTAAAGCAAACTCCTAAAAGTATGCTATGGAAGGGAAACAATTTCGAAATGGAGGTATATGTTTAAGTTTATTGCCCATTGTGACGAAATGAATTAATATTTTGCCCTTTTCTAAAATTATAGATGTCGCTTTGGATTAGAAGCCGTTTGGTTCTTTTATTTAAATTGGAAAGACTGAAAGCGCCAATTGTGTCTCTTATTCTAAATTAGTCAGCTTGTTTAATCGCGATCAGTCTGGTGGATTTTTGTTTTTCTATTTAGGGTTCTTTTTCTTAAGTCCGCAAAATGATTTTTATAAACAATTAACGAATTTGCGATAAGTTGGTATGTGAGAATATCAATTCTCTTTTGTTCGTCAGCATGTTCAACATTCTTTTCTTTGTTGCAAACATTTTACATAGGTCAGCAAAATTATTTTATATAAACATTTAAAGAATTCATGATTATTTGATATGTGAGAAAATAAAGTCCCTTTTGTCCGTCGTCATGTTTAATCATGTTGTATTGTATTCGCATTGGTCAATAATATTCGCTTATATCAGCAAAATGTATCCTAAGAAACCCATGCTGTTTTTTGAAAGTTTTGAAAAATCCATTCAGTCGTATAGAAACAGCGTTGCGCAGTCGACATGGAGAATTCATTGAAAAACCTTCCTGAATGGAATGATCCTGAGATCGATGGCTATTTACTCAGCATTCCGATGGAAGAGGATGTCATAATTATAAGCAGTGGAGAATCCAATTCGTCCAGGGAAGAGGATGTTTTCATTATCAGTAGCGGAGAGACCACTTCTGGCTACTATACGTCTGGAAGAGATGACGACGATGTAATTGTAGTTAGCAGTGGAGAATCCATAATAAATAATGGATCACCCTATTGGGACCCTTACAATAATTCTAGTTTTATAGTTTGATGAGATGTAATTTCACCATTCCATAAGAAACAATAAAAAAACCTTTACAAAAAATGGTGTTTTGTTTTATATATAAAGACATAATTTTCAAATTCCACTTCACAGTGTACAAGAACAGTTTTATAAAGAAGGATGGAATTTTCAAACATGAACAGGGAAGATCTACGTTTAAAGACTTTTAATTCATGGCCATTGACATATCAAGATCCAAAACAATTGGCAGCAATTGGATTTTTTTATACGGGCAGAGGAGACATTACTGAATGCTATTTCTGTGGGGTTAAAATAAATCATTGGGAACGAAATGATTGTCCAGTTTCGGAACACTTACAATGGTCATCCTCTTGTCCATTAATGAGAAGACGCCTTACAAAAAATGTTCCTATTAATAATAAATACTTGGATAAATTGCTTCCTGATTTCGGTGTGGATGTATGTGGTATTAAAGCAGTGAATAAGTTTTCGCCATTATTTTTCATTGTATTTGCAATAATTACAATCAACTCTATCAATAAATGTTTTAAATAATATAAAAAGTTGTTTTTTTTTCAATTTTCTTTATTGAGTTCGTCATATATTATTTCGGCGATATCATTCCAGTTTTTTTCAATGAATATCAATAATTTAAATACATTATTTACAGCACACTTAAATTTTATGGTAGGATGTATTGGACAATTAGTATAATAATTTTGACATGCTTTAAGATTAACTTTATTTTCCATATTAATAATCGTAGTATTGAGGTACTACTGCAAAAATACTTTTTTCTCTCGCCCAATAACAAAAATATATTTTTAGTTGTTTAACGGTGTAAGAATATCCTCTACATCATTATAGTCGAAATTTCCGTCCATCCAATTTAAATCATTAACAAATTTCTTCAAATTTCTGCACGCCTGTGATGTAAGTTCCTTTGAATTAAATGGTGGTCGAAGCAAGAAATGAGTTGGAACAACAGAATATCCACACATGAATGAAAGTTCTTTTATGAAAATACTCTTATAGTTTCCATGACAATATTGGAAATCAACCAATGCAATGTCCGATCTGTCGATTTCATCCATCTTCTTGGAGGAGTGAAGTATAACTGGACTAATATTCAATTAAAATTGTTTATTTATTTTCGTAGGTTTTATATTCATTAAGAATTTTAAACAAAGGTGTCCACAATTGTATGTATCATATTTTTGATCTCTGTCGTAATTATATGTTATATTGGTTCCCAAGTAGTATAGTACTTCCAACGGAGGTTGAAGATTGCCAAAACTATCGTAATACTCAATGTTATTATTATTTTTATAATATGCCACCCAATGTGTCCCAGATCCACTTGCGTTATCTAAGTTTATAATGCCACATTCCACTCTATATGGTTTTTTAGGTAACTTATCACGCATGTAAACACCTCTAAAGTGAGGTATATATTTTTTCCCAAATATACTTAGGTTTACATCCGTTAGTGGACCTTTGGGCAGCTGGTTTATAAGTTTTTTTGGAGTATCATCAACATAAATACCATAACCCTTTTTGTATGGTTTAAGGTAGAGTCCTTTACCCATTGCTATCGCTTCTACGGTTTTATTATGTCTGATTTGTTCGTCCAATTCCTTTTTGGCGTTTTTTGCTTTTAAAACAGCGTTGGTAATTGCTGCACTTCCTGATGCCAAGGCACCCATAGCTCCAAGACCAGTTAAGATTGGTATAAGTGGAAGAAAACCTCCAGTTTTTGGAATTCTAATTACTCTTGGTATTATCACTTTTGACTTCTTACCCTGGAAATTCTTTTGGATTTCTTTTTTTGCGATTTTTATAGCGGAATCAATGTTGTTGGGTTTAATACGTTTAAGTGTAGATGTTGCGCTTTTAATAGCATTTTTAAAAATCTGATTTCCAGTTACTTTTTTGGAATTTTTATTAACCAAACCCATTCCAAACTTTGTCTTAGCCTTCATTGCGTTCGTTACCAGGTATGCGTTTATTTTTTCTCCAATGCTACTATCTTTGGCTTTCACTCGTTCCCAAGCCCGTTCTGTTAGTTGACGATCTGCAGTATGGCGTTTATCAATATCTTCGTTTTGTGAATAGGCAATATCATGTATTCTACAGGCCGCATCTAAGGGATTGACACCTTTATCTCCTCTTTGCAATCGTTGTCTTAGTTTTGTACCGGGTCCACAAAATTGATAACCTGGTAGATGAAGTTCTACTGGCAAAGAGTTTATCAACTTATTAACAAGTCCTCCTCCTTCAACGGTTTTCTTTCTAATAACTCTCTTAGAGTTATATACAATCATTTTTATACTTTTACTAATCACTAAAAACGGAATAAACAAAACAAGAAGAAAGGTTTACATTAAATAGCCTGGTTCTTTTAAATTGATCTTTAGTTGAAAATATGCGATTAATTGAACAACAATCTAAAATAGCTGTACGAAATGCGGACTTTATACAAAGTAAAACCTCCAGACATAGCTCTTTATTACCCCATACTATACGAGCATTAATAGTGGGTCCGTCAAATTGTGGAAAGACGAATGTGATGCTTAGCTTGATAGAGAGCCCCAATGGATTAAAATTTCAAAATATTTACATTTATTCAAAATCTCTATATCAACCTAAATATCAATACCTAACGAAATTAATATCCTCTGTCAAAGGTATGGGATTGTATACATTTAATAATAATGATGATGTTATACCGCCAGAAGAAGTAAAACCAAACTCAATAATTATATTTGATGACGTTGCTTGCGATAAACAAAACAATATTAAGATATACTTCAGTATGGGACGACATAAAAATGTAGATTCTTTTTATTTATGCCAAACATATACACGCATCCCTAAACATTTGCTACGTGACAACGCTAATATGATAATTATGTTCAAACAAGATGATTTGAATTTAAAGCACATATATAATGATCATGTTGGATGTGATATGAGTTTTGAACATTTTAAAACAATTTGTCATGAATGCTGGAGAGAAAAATATGGATTTCTCGTAATTAGCAAAGATGATGAAATTCAATCTGGAAGATACCGAAAAGGCTTTCATACATTCATTCAACCCTAAAAGTATTGATAATTATACTATTTATAAGATGTATAAAATGGGTTAAATGTATTAGTACAACTCTAACCATGGAGGAAGAAATGTTAAAAAGGCTTGTCCAATCCAGAAATATATTGAAAAGAAAATTTCAAAGCATTAAAATGGGGGACGAAGCGAAGACTAACGAATTAAAAAATACATTTAAACCCATAACAGAGCCTATACAAAAACTGTTAAATTTGACGAACGCAAATACTTCAAAAATCATAGCACCTAAGAAAGAAAAAATAGATTCTTTTATTACAAGTACCCCCACAAAAAAGTATAAATCTGAGATTAAGCTACAACCAACTACTGATAAAGACTACGACAATGATTATCATGACACAAAAGATGACACATTTTATTCTGAAAATAATGATGAAGATACTATTAACCTTTCTCTCTTGAATAAAAACAAGAAACTGGATAATGTATATGGACCACATAAAGATGTTAATGGAGATTGGAAATTTGGTGATAAACCATTAAAAATCAATAAAGAAAAAATAATAATTGGAAATCAACATTGGGCATTTACGCCTGGATTATTTGAATTACTATTTTATCAAAAACCCACAAACTATGATTCATCTGAACTTGACATATATAAAAAAATATTGATGGACTCAAACGCATATAAAATAAACTATAAAAGCAATGAACGAATTAAATCCAACAAGGGTTACAAATATAAGCGAATAATAAAAGAGTTAATAGATGATACACACAGTGGAAAAGGCTTAATGAAAGTAAATCTTGCTAAACCAAACTATATATACTGGGACGATCCCAACGAACTGGTAGAACGATTAAAGCTGTTGATAGCATCACAACAAGCTGGGAACAATAATCACACCAATGAAATTGTTTCCATTATAGAAGAACTGCGAGAGGGAAACATAATCTACTAAATAATAAATAAAAAATAAATGTCAATGACAGTCGATAAATTTGGTCATTATTATAATCAAAAGTATATTTCATTGACACTAAAAGAACATGTTTCAAGATTTCTTGGAATCAATACTGATGAAAATAACAACCTTGACATACAAAATAAGAAAATTAGGAATGTTGGGGCTCCAGCGGAAGGAGCAGACGCGGTCAACCAAGCATACGTACATTCGCAAATCAAGCACATACAAGAAATATTGAAACAAAACATTGATCAAGAATGTGCTCATCTAAGACAGGAAATATCACAGTTGAAGAAAACGCAGAACGAACTATTTAAAATATTATCTCAATATCCCTTTAAATCACCAACTCTAATATACCACACCGAATAAAATCATGGAAAAGCGAGAATTAGTAAATGAACTTCACTCTCAAGCAAGAAAAAAATTTAAGAGGCGAAGGGTGGTTATGCATGGTATAGATGATCTTTGGCAAGCGGATTTAGTTGAAATGGGAAATTATTCTAAAGCAAACAAGGGATATAGATATATGCTTACGGTTATCGATACATTTTCGAAATATGCATGGGGAGAAGCACTTAAATCAAAAACTGCATCAGATGTTTGTGAAGCTTTCGAGAGAATTTTAAGAGCTGGAAGAATACCAAAAAATTTACAAAGCGATGATGGAAAAGAATTTTTCAACAAAGATTTCGCCAAACTAATGCGAACATATTCAATAAATCATTATTCTACATATAGTGTATTGAAAGCATCAATTGTTGAACGATTCAATAGAACATTAAAGGGAATGATGTGGAAGGAGTTTAGTTATAATGGGAACTACCAGTGGATTAATGTTTATAAAAATTTGATAAAGCAATATAATGAAACAACACATCGAACTATAAAAATGGCACCTGTTCAAGTTAACACATCGAATGCTAGAACATTGCTGAAAACTGTTTATAATCATATAAAAGTATTTAAACCACAAAACATAAATGTGGGCGATAATGTTCGCATAAGCAAATACAAACATCACTTTGAAAAGGGGTATACTCCAAACTGGACTACTGAAATATTTAAAATAAGATCAATAAGAATAACAAACCCAACAACTTATTTACTAGATGATTATCAAGGAAATCCCATACAGGGATGTTTCTACAGAGAAGAACTTTTACCTACAAAGTATCCAAATAACTATTTAGTCGAGAAAATTTTAAAAACAAAGGGTAACAAAATCTTTGTAAAATGGTTAGGTTTCTCAAACCAACATAATTCCTGGATAGATAAGAATAATTTACTGTAGTGTTACTTAATTTTTATATATGTATTTAATTTCATGTATTTCACATTTATTTGAATAAATAAATAAAAAAGTATATATATATAAAAGCTTTTCTATATTCATACTTATTTGAACGAGGAATCTTATAATGTCAAGAACATTTACGTTGACCGGTAAAACTTCAGTTTTACGCGCAGACTATTCACCGCCTATTGATCTAGGAGAAGTTGATTATGAATGTGGTTTGATTGATTTTCAGTCATACAATTCAATACCCAATGTGGATAACGATAACAACCTCTTTCATATTGGAGAAAACATAATAAAAATACCTATAGGATCCTATGAACTACAAGATATTGCAAACTACTTGGAGAAAGAGTACAAGGCTTTGCATATAAACAGGTTTATTGAAATTAAAGCAAACAATAATACTCTACAAATAGAAATAATATCATCACACGATTACATTTACTTCGATAAGAGCAAATCCATAGCAAAGTTGTTTGGTTTCACGGACAAAATTTTGGAGCCTGGAAAAAAACACATTTCAAATCTTCCAGTAAACATTTTAAAGGTCAATGCAATACAAATTCATTGTAACATTGTAACTGGTACATTTATGAATGACTCTCCCGCACATATTCTGCATGAGTTTTCTTTGGATGTTCCGCCCGGATATAAATTGGTTGAGAGACCAATGAATCTTATTTATTTGCCAGTGAACGTCAAGGAAGTTGGTCGTCTTGAGATACTAATACTAGATCAAGAAGGTCGTTTAATAAACTTTAGAGGAGAAGAAATCACACTAAGAATACATTTAAGGGCAAGACAGTCATGATTATCTACAATAATAATAATAAATACAAACAGAATCCATTGTCTAAAAGCATTCAACATCAAGTTGTCAAACCTGCAAGACCTCCTTTAAGCAAAGAAAATAAAGAATTTTTAAAATTACTTAAACTAAAGATCAAATTAAATGTCTGAAATACTTGATATTAATGATCATCCATTCTCAGATGAAAATATTGTAAAGAGAGACTACCATAGCTATGTTCCTTATATACATTCGTTTAAGAATAATGATGAAATACGGATAAGTGTACAAAATCAAGATTTGTATATTTTACCGTCCGAAAGCTATTTATACATTGAAGGAAATTTAAGAACAACAAATGGACAAATTCCCACCAACGCTAGACTAAGGAATAATTGTGTGGCATACATGTTTGATGAGATTCGATATGAATTAAATGGAATTGAAATTGATCGCACGCGATACCTTGGAACAACTACAACAATTAAGAATTGGATTTCTTTACATTCATCGGAAAAAAATATAATGAGCAAAGCAGGGTGGAATATAGATAGTGATATAACAGCGACATCGTTTAACTTTTGTATACCATTGAATCGTTTGCTGGGATTTGCAGAAGACTTTAATAAAGTCATTTGTAATAGCAAACATGACTTGATTCTTCTGCGCAGTGCCAATGATGCAAATGTATGTTATTCAACTGACTCATCTGAAGATATAAGCCTAACAATTACGAATATTGTGTGGAAAGTGCAACACATTCATTTGTCCGATCATAGAAAAATTAGTTTTCTGAAAACAATTAGGGATGGGAAATCACTTCCAATAGCATTTCGTAGCTGGGACTGTTACTTTAATCCCACGTTTGTGGGTGGTCAGAAGCACAGCTGGAATGTAAAATTGTCGGCCAATCATGAAAGACCTCGCTACGTTGCTTTTGCATTTGAAAAGGATAAAAAACTGGTTCATTGTGATCTCCAAAACATCAAAGTACACTTGAATTCTGAAACATATCCCTACGATGATTTAAATCTGAAGTTTGGGGAGAATCGATATGCAGTACTTTATGATATGTATTCCAAGTTTCAACAAACATATTATATGAGGGAACCTCAACCACTACTGAGCTATACCAGTTTCAAGCAAAATCCAATTGCCGTAATTGATATAAGTAATCAAAACGAAGCCGTAAAGAATGGACCCATTGATTTAAAAATTCAATTTGAAACCGATATACCTATACCACAAAACACATCTGCTTATTGTTTAATTATACACGATCGGCTGGTGGAGTACATACCTTTAACTGGAATTGTCCGAAAAGTACTATAAACTACTTTTACCATTTTCATTTGAATTTGTAAACATGATAATAAAATAAAACACAGATGTATACATTTTTTAATTAAAGTTTCTTTGTTTTATTTATTTATTATTATTATTATATATTTTTTATTTTTTTTTTTCTAAAAACGTTATAAATGAATAAGTACTTACAAGTAAAAACAAATAAACATGTAACAATAAATAAAATGTGATGTTACAAGTAAATGGAATTAATTCTATGTTAATGATGTAGATGTGTTGGAAATATTGTTGCTTTCATTATTAATTCGATAATGACCCCAGGCATATGTTTCAACACCATTTTCTCTAATATACCTCTTATCATCTTGATAACTAAGACATATTTTAGTTATTTTTTCTGTAAAGATAGTATGTTTTCTCGACCTGAAACTATACATACTACTAATCAAATTCTTTTTATTATATAAGCATTCCCTGTAAGTGTCTATTGTGCACTTCTTCAAAACTGATTTCTTTACACCCTTAGATTTTTTTACTTCATCGCTCTCAACCACTTTTATAGCATACATTTTCGGACGAAGACCCACAAATTCAATCATAGCTTTTCCGGCATTCTCATCTTTCATCATCCCTATAACTTTTTTATTAACAATGGGTACATTATATTTATTATTTGGCGGGAAGTCTGAGGTATCCATTCTGGCCATAAATTCCTCGAAGGTTAAATTTTGATATAGATTCACACCCAAAAATGTCAAAATAAACGAGTCTGTATCCATATAATTTAAGAAAACCGAATCACCAAATTTGACTTTAAGAAAATCGTAGAAGTAATCATACATTATCCATTTTGAAATCTCTAATATGCAAAAGCCTAAATAGATGGGTTTATTATATGTAACTTTTACTTGGTTCATTTGTATTGCTACCATGTTCTCGTCAATTTGCGTAAGACTATGGAAATTTGGTTTTGATATTAATCTACTAGCCACATCCTTTTTTCCGTCCATGTCCCACGATTTAACTATTTTTACAATTTTTCTCTTATCTATGTTCTCCATAGTCTTTCCGTAAACAGCGTTATTCAATAGTTTAAAAAAATCTTTTTCAAAAGCATTCTTAGCTTTAGTCCTATAATCATTGTTTTTCATAATGTATTTTTCTAACCAATTGGATTGGCTGAAGGCTAATACTCTATTAACTTTTTTCAGTATTAATTTATGTTGTAAACATTGTTTTAAATTTATATAATGAATGGCGTATGATTCCTTATCTGAAAAATCTGTAATTAATTTCTTGTTTGCGGAGTACCCTAGACATTTGCTTTCAGGACAAAATGGAAGATCATTGTGTAAATCATGCAAATGTTCTGGGTACTCTATATCAACGTCAAAAATGTAGCCGGTTTTAGAATCGTCAGCTATCGCCAGTATTTCCCTTGCATCCCTAAACTTTTCAAGTTCTTCCCCTTTCAACCATCTAAAATTTCCAGTTGGAAGAGGAAAACACATTGATTTTCCATATAAATTATTTACATCATTATAAATAATAAAAGATACTGGTTTTGTTCTATCATAATTTGGGACATCCTCGTTATTGGCAATGGAATGCCGATGTGGACATTGAACTATACCTCCTCTAATTGAACCTTTAAGAAAAAGGTACTGATCAATATCTTCGAAGAGTCCCAGCAACTCCTCACTGCACAACAACATGGCATCCCAAGATAAAGATGGAGTTGTCAAATACTGACACGGATCCAATTTGTGTATATTCATACATAAATTTCGGAAACTTTCAAATATATCTGTGAGTATTAAGACGTCTGTTTTTAAATACAGTTCCATGTACTCTTGGATGGTTTTACAACCAAAATGTGTCCAAACTTCTTGTGCAATCTTGTAATCTTCCTCTGAACACTCACTATCAGTCAGATTATTGTAGAATGCCGTTCTTGGCGGTAATTGCTGTTCTGTCAACTTTCCAAATGATGTGAGGTATTCATAAGGAAAAATACCTTTTCTGGTCAATAGTTTATAATCATCATCATTGGGGTATTGGGAACGGACAGCCTTGAAAGCTTCTTGTGGAAGATTCTTTGCTAGGCTGTCCAAGCTCGCCGGCATAAACCTAAAACTGTCTAAAAAGCGTAATTCAAGAGTTCTACGTTTATTCTTATTCTTTTCTGGATTGTCGTTAGTAGTATCTGTTCTTTGTATATTCTGTTGAGAATCTGAATCATCCTTCATGGGAATTTTGAAGGACATTGATATATATTGCTCTTTATTTTGAGCAATTACAAAAATGTCTCCCTCAAACTGTGCCAACTCTTTAATAAACAAATGCGAGTCATAAGATGACAAATTATGGAAAAGTATCGGTATGAATTTAGGAACTCTGTAATGTAAGTTGCACTTGTTATGTGCGGCTCCCCTATATCTTCCCGTCAAGTGACAATGATCTCTTACTTTATCATTAGCAAGAGGAGCCTCACATATGTGACAGTTCATACTTTCGTTAAATTGCTTTAGTTCTAAGGGTGTTAAAGAAATCATTTCCTTTGTTATTACCAAAAAATTGTTATAAATAGATTTACAATCTATAATAAGGTTTTCTAAAAAGTTAATTGTTGCCTGGGGTCCCGAAAATATTTTGAATTTATTTAATTTAGTATCGAAACTGCATTGAATAAAATAACTATAGGCACACGGTATGTGTTTTTTTACCTTTTTGGTATTTCCGCCAACATCGTCCGATACGTCTTCCAGTATGCATTCGGCGTCTGCATAAATGACGAAAGCAATACGCTCCTTCTTTCCGTAGTTCTTAAACTTCAATAAAGCTTTGTCTTTCTCCGGAAGTGTACAAACAACACCTCCACAAGCTTTCTTATGACCATTATATTTGTCTTCATCTGTGAAATGTTGAAGGCAACCATTGCAAATGTGAACATGGGTTTTGTGGAGTGTCAACTGTGATCTTAAAATCCTTAAAGTGAAACAAAAGATTACAAATTATTAACGTGTGTTATACTAATATTTATATATATATATATATATATTCACCTTGACATATCTTCAATCCATATGTAATGGAATTTGTTGTCATTATACAGCAATATTAAATTTACATGGACATCTTTTTCGTTCTTTGTCAGGTAATAAGGTCCAACAACTTCATTATTTTCAAAGCCAAAAACATTTATGCTGATATCTGCATTCATTTTCTCAAAATGTTTAATCTTCTTCAATGATAACGGGAAATTTAGTCCACGGAAATCAAGCACTATCCCAGATTGAAGAGCTATCACTTCCTGTGTGATGTCTATTTTATATGATGATGTCTCACAGATATCGCCAAAAGCAGGCTCTCCTAATGCCGCCACTAAACACCATTTAAAACAATATTGATCTTTGTTTTTTATATTTAGGATACCCTTCTTTGCATGCAGTGTAGGAGGTGTTGGTATAAACATTGAACCGCGTGTTAAATTCGCTTTATTCACATTTATGTCCAGTTTGCATATTCTTAATAAAGCCCATCCTGAATCTTTTTCTTGGAATTCGGACATTTTAGTAAGAATTTCCTCAGCGTGGTCGAAAAACTCATCATTCACATCATCTCCAATTGTTAGTAATGTCATTTTAGACATATGATTAAAAATTTGATTGATTGTTTGCAATCGAGAATTTCGAGACGTGGAAGGACCATCATAGTCATTCGTTGGCTTAACATATTCACCTTGCAGTTCCATATTAAATTTAAATGTAGTTTTCTCTGCTATATTTAAATTTAATAATTTAACAATATCTTCTTTGCACTCGTTTAAGAACTCATTGGGCATAAGAATATTTCTTTTATTGTTGTATTCATATGTTATGATATTGTTTTTAAATGAACTTTTTACAATTTTAATATTTTCATTTAAAACTTCTCGGACAATACTTCGATGTTTTTCACTCCGAACATGAGAACGCATGTTTTGTACCGCGATTTTACAATCACCGCAAAATTGTGTTTGTTCTTCTATTTGATTTCCACTTAAATTATGCTCTATATTTTCTTCTTGTATATGGCCACTGTTTTTTTGGTGATATTTCAATTCATACACATTTCTGAAAAGTTTTTCACAAATTATGCAATGCCTTTTGCAGTGTTTTACGTATTCATTTTTACTTCTAAAGTAAAGACTGCAAATCGATGGTGCCATTGTAAAGGAAAAAAAGTTATTTATTAATGTTTAATTGACGAGAGATGTGCACGAATCTGTGACTTCTGGAGTACTGATACCCTCAAATTCAAAAATCCTCAAAATATCACAATATTCATTGTTTACATTAATAACAAAGTGCTAAGCTTGGCTACAAAATTCAATCATCTTCAACCACAACATCAAGAAAACTTCACCCACAACCTCCCACCTCACCCCTAAACAAAATATTCTCCACTATGCAATGGTCAACCAATAAATATCTGCAAACCACAGTCGGGAATAAAATCAAGTGTAAACAAAATGTAAGTACTCAGAGCGCATTACACATACACACTATGCTGGGCTACAAAACGGCACCCGAAACTTCAGTTGTAAAAAAATCTATATATTTATATTAAATACAAAGTATTATGTGAATTCAATCTGTTTAGAAGAATTGTTGACGATTTTATTATTTTCCTAGTACGCAAATAAAAAAACATTGAAATTTCTTCATACACAAAGTACTTTATTATTATTATATTTACTTTTAGCTTAAAAAGTAGAATAAAAGAATCTTGGTTCACTTTGTTTTAATTCTAATTTATATAAGCCACTCTCGCTCCCATCTCGTACGGGCAATTTTGCAATGGAATAGCAGCCATCAGACAACTGTTTCACATATTCATCTCCGAGGGATAGGAATCTGGATGGCAAATAGAGAATAGCGTCATCCAATTTTAACACAATTCTGTCACCATATTTAGTATGGGTTCTGAAGGCTCCACTGATATTGTAATCCCTGTTTTCTTGGCTCCTTCATACTTATAATTTTTTTATAGTTGAATGAGTTGAAGATACTGATTATATTTGACTTCTCCATGATGCAGCTTCAATTTTCAATTTTATACTGTAACATTTTACTCCAATACTATCCTATTTATATTAAAATATGACATAAACCAAGAGATCAACGCATTTAATACCATGCTATAAATATGATTTTATAAAATTTAAATTCGCTCATAATTTCTGTAAATGCATCCAACAAAAATGTTTCCGACTGATCATGATTGAAATGATGACGAACACCAATGCGAATACAATACAACATGATTAAACATGACGACGGACAAAAGGGACTTTATTTTCTCACATATCAAATAATCATGAATTCTTTAAATGTTTATATAAAATAATTTTGCTGACCTATGTAAAATGTTTGCAACAAAGAAAAGAAAAGAATGTTGAACATGCTGACGAACAAAAGAGAATTGATATTCTCACATACCAACTTATCGCAAATTCGTTAATTGTTTATAAAAATCATTTTGCGGACTTAAGAAAAAGAACCCTAAATAGAAAAACAAAAATCCACCAGACTGATCGCGATTAAACATGCTGACAAATTTAGAATAAGAGACACAATTGGCGCTTTCAGTCTATCCAATTTAAATAAAAGAACCAAACGGCTTCGAAACACCTAATCGATCAAAGCGACATCTATATTCCTATTTTAGAAAAGGGTAAAATATTAATTCATTTCGTCACAATGTGCAATAAACTTAAACATATACCTCCATTTCGAAATTGTTTCCCTTCCATAGCATACTTTTAGGAGTTTGCTTTAATGCTAACCAGATTAAATAAAATTAAAAAACAAGTCTTTTATCGAATCTACAGGGCAGCATCAATAATTCACCAAACCACAATTTAAATAAAAGAAGCAAAAGGTTTTGAATCACCCAATCTTTCAAAGCGACATCTTTACCTTAAAGATCACAGGGAGACACATACAACTCACCACCAAAAGGATTAAAGAACCAAAAGGTTTTGAATCACCCAATCTTTCAAAGCGACATCTATACTTTAAAGATCACAGGGTGACACATACAACTCACCACCAAAAGGATTGTGTCTATGCTACAAACACGACAGATCACAGTGTTGCACATACAACTCACCTCCAAAAGGATTGGGTCTATGCTACAAACACGACATAGATCAGGGTTGCACATACAACTCACCACCAAAAAGTTTATGTCTATGCTACATACACGACAGGCCATCTACTGACAACGATCTAATTCACCACTATTTTAGTCAAATACACAGGGTAACATCTGCAATTCACCACTTTTTGATTCGTGTCTACGATACACACACAGGGCGACATCTACACTACACTTCACCACGAATGGTTTGTGTCTTTGCTATGTAATTTGATCACTTTGTATCGATGGAAAGGAGACTTATTACTCTATAGTTGGCACATATTGTGTTGTCTGAGGTTCCAATCAATGGACATGCAGTTCTCTAGCCCAATTATACTAAGCAGCTGGTGCATGCTCCTTTCCAGTATCTGACCACCAGTATGGAATAGTTCGGCTTGTAAACCAATGGCACCTGCTGCTTTCAGCCGATGACCTAATCTTGGATCTGGGGTATCCTATTCACCGCTACTATTTGATACCAAAAGTTTTTCAAAATGTTCCTTCCAGATCCTCAACATGCTGTCTGTATCTGTCACTAGGTTTCCTTCTTTACAGTAGGTTTACAGGAGGATGTGCCTGCACAAGCATGTCACATGCTGATATATGGATCAGGTACTTACGCAGATGAGTGTTAGAGTGAAAAATTCTCCGAAAGATCTATGGGCCGATCTCGAAAGTTTTGTTACAAAATGTAAAGTTCCTTTCTTCCGTGTACATGAACAAACCCCAATCGGATTTTCTGGTTTTTGGGGGTTTGTGAATGACTTTTGCAGTGCAACTCTACCATGAAAACCAGCTTACAGAAAATTCTTCGTATTGTTTCTGAGTCGCATTTCTTTTCCCTATATTTCTCTCCGATTTCAGAAAGTTTAGGTGCACTTAGCTTTGGATTATCGGCCACTTGTCACTTATATTGAATATTTTTTCTCCTTGGTTTTCGGTTTGTTGCAAATACGATTTTCTTTCTTTGGACCTCAATATATTTCTTTGAACAGCAGATCTAATAACATTGAGTATTTCCGCTACTTTCCATTGAGAATTTCCCCTGCGTCCCTCGGTTTCAAATATTCACGATGATTATTCAATAATTGATCCATGAGAAGATTGACTTTTAACCTTTATTAAGTTGTCAATAATTGCTTTTTATCATTAATTTTGAGTTTGAACGTTTATGTTGATATATAAGAAATAATAAAATTTTCTTAGCTAATTAAAACGCACTTATGCCATTTTTATAATATAAAAAAGCAAGTGGATACTTTTAACTGTTACTCACTGCATATGTAAGCTATGACTTCTGGAAGTGACTCTGGCAGCAACTTCCGCAAGAAAAACATCTAGTTGACACTTGTCAAGCGTGACAGCCGGACACTTTAGAATTTGTAATGCTCCTTTCAAGTTTTAATGAAGTTCCAAAAATCGGTAAAATATAAATAAAATCAGAGATCTCCACTTAAAATTATATACCGTATCCCAGGAAGTACGCATGTGGGGCCCAGTGTACCCTGGCCATTCCGAAATACGGTTTTTCTTACAAAAAATGTATTTTTGCAATGAAAATTATCATATTGATTTAAGAGGTTAGAATTTAATTTTCTGTATGTCGATTCTGAGATAAATAACAAATTTGGCAATTTTGGTGGTGAAGGGTATACAAATTTGACACAGTTCTAATGTATACATATATTCGGAAAATGTGATATAATGCCAAAAAAAATAAGTTTTAAACCGTTCAATACTCTCGAAGCGGATCCTATTAAAAATTATGTGGTAAAATTAGAATCTGTCACGTTTATTTATCA